GTTGAGTAAACCACCATCGTCGCTCACAGTTAGGTTAGAATCTTCGTCATCTTCTTCGTCAAAATTTGAGCATTGGATGCTCTTTCTCCATCTGCAGTTTCTTTACCCAAAGCGAAATTTGGATTCTTTGTGTGTAATGCCATTAATTCTACAATAATAATAGATCAGTTTAAGTTTTTACTAGATTTTCTGTTAAACGTGAAGAACAGAGAAGGAGAAAGATCTGGAAAATGAGAGGAAGAGGAAGCAAGTTTGAGAATGAGTTCTCACTTCTCAGAGAAACACGATTTTTTTTAGAGTTAGGGTATCCACTTAGGTTGGGTTTGGGTCGGGTTTAACCTGGTTGTATCTGTAAATAATTCAAATACTAAAGAATAATCTTGTAATCAACCAGGTTTTTGACTTAAAAGAAAATCGAAACTAAATTTGTTTTAATCGATGAATATTTGAGATTGGGTTTTGAGTTATAGGGGCACACGAGATGATGTCTCAAAATATCGAATCAGGCAAATAAGTCACCAAATTGTCGTTTTAACAACAAAAAAAGACACCAAATTATCTTTCTGCTAGATGGAGAAGGTGACACTCCAAATGGTTTCTTACCTAACAATAAAACTATGAGAATCAGAAAAAAAAAAAAAAAAAAAATCAAATCCATTTTAATGAACCTTAGTAAACGATATTCGATTACTATACAGTTTATAAACCAAAAACTGAACACGAAACTGATTTAATAAAAAACGGATTAGACTTTACTAGTTCACTTGATCAATTGATTTGTAAACCCACCTGTAAGGGAATTAAATTGATCTTAATAAATATCATCATCACCAAATTTCGCAACTGTAAAACAAGCATTAACTAAGCCCTAATAATTTTTTTTTTTCTGAATTGAATGTAAAATTATATTCAAACTGAAACTACTTTTGTAAACGAAAATGAGTAACACTTGATCTACAAAAGTCTTTTTTGGTTTGAATATAATAATATTACATTCAATTCAAAAATAAAAATAAAAAAAAATTAGAAAACGATATTCGATTACTACAGTTTATAAATCAAAAACTGAACACGAAACTTATTCAATAAAAAACAGATTAGGCATCACTAGCTCACAATCAATCTTAAACCCACCTGTAAGGGAATCTAATTGATCTTAATAATTATCATCATCACCAAATTACGCCACTGTAAAACAAGCATTAAGCCTTAGTAATTCTCAAAGCTCTATAAAGCATAAAGTTTTGAAAATCGAGTGGGGCATCATAAAAACCTGTCGAAAAACTAATCGAGACAAGACAAGATCTACGAGTAACAAAAACCCTAGATCCTGAAAATTTCCAGAACATGAGCATAATTATCCCTTTGGCTTCAAATTACAAATAAGATTCAATATACGAGGAAAAAGGTTGTGAAATTTATGGATTTAGAGAGATCTAATATAACAAATCAAACAAATACAACAATTTTCAACACACAAAAACTCAAAATTGGACGTAAATCAGATCTGGAAATTGGATCCTTTTATCTTTTTCACCTGGGCCTCGGATTCTCTTGGTGCTACACGGGAACTGATTCGTGCTCACAAGCCAACGATGGCGGGTCAACCAATCAATTCCCGAGCTGCACCAAGCTAATCGGAGACCACCGTAACTTACCTAGATTTGAGTGAAAAGGGATAAGCATCTATTTCAGTAAAAGTTACTGTAGTAATTAAACATGGGAGTTACATTCTGAGTGAAGGAAATTAAAAAAAAAAAAAATCACCTTGGTGTGGCATAATTGACTTAAAAAAAATCAGTTATAAGATGTCAAAAAAAAAAAAAAAAAAACATTCAGAAACACATTCTGATATTTAGGGATTACATGAGACAAAAATATGCATGCCTGGTCAGAAACACATGATTATTCAAGCTCATTAATCTCGAATATAGTTTCAATAATTCTGGGTTTAGATAGAAATCATTAGTAACCCACCGTTTCATTCTCAGAGTAGCATTGATAATAAATAAAAGCTTCTTGTGGTATTGAAAATAGCTTGGAAACTTAGATCTGTTTAATCTCTCATTTACTTAAATGTAATATTTTCTTGGTTTGACACATCTTTTTCTTTCACACATTTAGTTTTGCTGAAATTTTAAACTGGATTTTCTTGATCTCTACCTGATTCATTGGCCGGTGAGCTCAAAACTCGGTAAATACAAGTTTCCGATTGAAGAAGATGATTTTTTGCCAATGAATTATGAAGTAGTTTGGTCAAATATGGAGGAGTGCAAGAGAGTAGGGCTTGCAAAGTGTACTCGGGTGTTATGGTTTCCCAAAGTCAAGTCCTTGCTCATTTGTATTTGCTTACATCCCTAAGTTACTTCTCATAGATAGATTCATCACATCTAGATATTCCGTTCTTCTCTTTTCGAAATGGCATTCTCATACTGTTTTTATTGGACAATGAAATCTACATGGCATAGGGATAGTTGATATCTCTTTCCTTTCGTTTCTATTTTTTTTTTTTTTTATCCAGGAGCTACGCCTAGAGGTGTCATGAGGTTATGAAAGTTGAAGGCTTGACAATATATCATGTCAAAAGCCATTTCCAGGTTAATATTATGAATTATTTCCACTCAAGTTTTCATCCTAGTGCTTAATGCTGAGATTTATCTATTAAAGAAAATGGTGTTTCTTTTATAAACTACATTTAGAAAGTACATCTAGATACAAAGTGGTTTCTATCTTAGTATTTTTTTATGACGTTTGTCCAGGAAAAGCTAACAAAAGTGCAACAATTTTCATATTTATACTGCCGGTAGATATTATGGAGGCTTCGCAGCTTCAGATTGAAATCTCATTTTACTCTCAATTTTTAATAGATGAATTTGGCCCAAAATGATTTGTCTAGAAAATTTTGTTGTTTAATTTATGGTCACATGATGATTCTGTTGCAGATACAACACATGCTTCACCAGCTCGCTCATCTTCAATGAAGGTAATGTATATATGATCTCATATACACAATAAATAACGCATTTGACTAATCGTGTTACTGCCTAATGTTGTCACTAATCTAGCTTCTGATCATAGAATTTCCGTGAAAAATAACACTATTTAGGTTCATTATATGATTGGTGTGAGAGATTGGTGCGAGAGTTTACGATATGGGAATAGGAGGATGGGGAGGCGGTGAACAAAATTTTCCTACACGAACCATCAAGCGCTGTCTCAAGGACTATACAAACGTATTGAATTCAATCCCAAAATTGGGTAAACATTTGCCTTAACTCATATGTTAAGATAGTTATGTTTTTGGTACTTTAATAATTACGTATAAAAATCAGGAGCTAACAAAACCATATTACTATGCTAATCTTTATTATATTATTAATTGAGAAGTACATGAAAAATTTATGACCAAAAATTAATCTAATTATGAAATTATGAAGAGAAAATGTTTGGCAACAGATTTAATTAGGGTCAATTTAGTACAATGTTTGGATACAAGAATAAGAGAAAAATCTATTTGGATAGAAGAATAAATGGAAAAAATTGTTTGGATACAAGAATAATAACTTAAAACAAACCGATGGTTTAGAAAACTTCCGTTTTCCAGCTCTTAAAAATCTGCAAAAAAAAAAACTTAACATAATCTAACGATAATACCAAATCAATAGAATATGCTTTTTGGATTTTCGGGTTTTTATAGACAAGTTCGGGTTTGGGTGAAAATCTGAGACCTATTTTATAGAGATATAGAAATTGTTCGGGTTTCTTTGAAAATTTTGTTCGGGTTAGGTTCGATTTTTTTTTTTCAGTTTAGGGTTTTCCGGATTTTTTGGATTTCGGTTTTCGGGTTTAGATATATTAAAAATTGAGTATTTTAAAATTTTGATTAGGGTATTTGGTCGGGTTCCGGGTGAAAAAGTTTCCAGATTTTTTTTGTTCAGTTCAGGTTTTCGGGATTTTTTTGATTTCGGATTTTTGGGTTTAGACATATTAAAAAAGTTTGGGTTTTTAAATTTTTTGATTAGGTTTTTTGGTCGGTTCGGATTTAGGGTTTAAATTTTCTACACAAAACCATAACGTCACACCGCACAAACGTGCGGGTACTCTACTAGTAAGATTAGTAATCCTCTAGCACTTTCCGAAAATGTGAAAATAGGTCAAGTCAAAACAGCCATAACTCATTCGAAATGGAGTTATTTGCAGAGGGAAACAAAATTACAGCAATGACGATATTATTCTTCAATCCGTAGCTCACATTGGGGAAAAATAAGTTTAAAACAAAAATATAGGGGAGGCTTGAATAACTGATCATGTTGACATAGCTTAAACTCTTTTGGCTTTTGCTTAAGCGCTCAGAAATGGTTGTAGAAGTGATGCGGAGAGATATTTAAAAATATTTATATTATTATTTTGATAATTTTTTATTATTATTTTAGGGTTTTCTAGGTTTTAAAGCTTCCTTATAAAGAAGCCTCTAGGCCTCTTTTTATATTCAATTCTTGATTTTTAATAAAAAGTTTTGGCTAGTATTCTCTATCCTTGTTTTCGGTAGATGTAGAGAGATCTCAACAAGTTCAAGAAGCAGGTCCCAAGCGAGGATTATCGAATCCCTTGATTGAGCTGACAAGTCCCGATCGATTCGTTTGAATCATTGGTTGAGCTGTGTTTATTGTAGCTTCCGCTACATCAGTTGGTATCAAGCCAACACTTTGGTTTCTTAATCAAAGTTGGATCCTTAGATATCATGTTAAGTGGATGTGTTTATCCTTACATGGTTGATAGTCCGTTTCTTCAAAGTGAAGACCAGATTTACATAGAGATCTATGGGCCCCCAATTTATGATATTTATGATGATGAGCATCTTATTCAAGACGAAGAAAAGGCGTTATTCAAAATTCCAGAAGAGGTGGAAGTCAGGAGGGTTTTGATCGTTCGTTATCAACAAGAAATTACAAAAGAAGATGCTTGCATGCATAAGATGGAGAATATCACATGTGGAGTATTTAAGAAGCAATATCACTCTCTCTCTCACCCCTAGGCACCCTAGTTAGTTCGAATTTACTGAATTGTCCAGCTAAATCTCGAACTACTTTGAGATAAGCTTCCATGCGCTCCTCTTTTGCTTCGTATTCGCCGCTGTATTGGCTAGTAACGAGCTGGGAGTCGCTGAATGCGTTGATCTCATTCACGCCGATCCCGATTGCGAGTCGGAGTCCGGCTATGAGTGCCTCGTATTCGGCCTCATTGTTAGAGGCGACGAATCCGAGTCTGAACGATTGTTCGATCACTTCTCCGGTTGGAGATGTGAGTTTGATTCCGACGCCAGCTCCTTGTTTGGACGAGGCTCCATCTACGAAGAGTGTCCAAACTTTAGAGAGGGTGGTATCATCGTTATTGGCTTCCGGTGCCAGCTCGATCATGAAATCAGCTAGTACCTGGGCTTTAGCACAGGTTCTAGTTCGATATTCGATGTCGTATTCGCTGAGCTCGATAGCCCATTTAGCTAGTCGTCCAGATTGACTTGGACTATGTAGCATAGTTCGCAATGGTTGCGAGGTCATCACCACGATTGTGTGTGATTGAAAGTAAGGTCGCAGCTTGCGAGCGGACATTACTATTGCTAAGGCAAGTTTTTCCATAGCTGGGTATCTAGTCTCGGCATCAATCAGGGATTTACTTACGTAAAAGATTGGTCTTTGTTCGTTTAGCTCTTCACGAACTAAGACCCCGCTGACGCTGCAGGCGAGACCGCGATGTAAAGGTATAGCGGTTCTCCTTCTACTGGTTTTGCCAGTATAGGAGGTTCGCTGAGGTAAGTTTTGAGCTGTTTGAAAGCTTCTTCGCATTTTTCGTCCCAGAGGAATTTTTTATTTCCTCGGAGGAGCTGGTAAAATGGAAGACACTTGTCGGTTGACCGGGAAATGAACCTATTAAGGGCTGCTATTCGACCGGTTAACCGTTGTACTTCTCTAGTATTTTCTGGAGAAGGCATATCTAAGAGGGCAGAGATTTGCTTCGGGTTCGCCTCGATTCCGCGTTCAGTTACTAGGTAACCGAGGAACTCGCCAGACGGAACTCCGAATGTACACTTAGTCGGGTTCAGCTTCATGCCGTACTTGTTAAGTATGGAGAAGCATACCCGGAGCTGTGCGACGTGGTCTGTTTCCCTAGAGGATTTGACCAGCATATCGTCTATGTCCTTTACTCTGCGAAGGTGGTTCAGCTGATGCAGTTTTCTTTGCACCTGGGGAAGCGTATGCGAGCTCCTCTTTGCGGTATTTCTCTCTGAGAAGAGCTGTGTCTTCATCGAGAGTTGTGAATGCTGATGCGTGATGTAATGTGTTATCTAGTGAAATTGTAGGTCGAACAGTTAGTTCTTCTCTAAATTTCGATTCGTACCACAAGTTGGTTTTATAGGCAAATAGAGCTACTGCCTCGTTAGGGTTTGCAATCTTAGCCTTGACTAATTTGAATCTGTCAATGTAAGATCGGAGTGGTTTGTTTGGAGCTTGTGAAAGTCTCCAAAGATCAGCTTCCGTAATTTTACATTCAATGAAGATGGAATACTGTTCAAGGAAGGCTGATGGGAGCTGGTCGAAATTATCGATCGAGTTTTCGTCTAGCGTTGAGAACCATTCTTGAGCTGGTCCGATCAGGTTCTCAGCGAAAAGCCTAAAGTAGGCAGCTTCTATCTCTTCTGAGGAGAATGGTGCTCAAGATACAACGGGGTTAAAAGCTCGCATGTAAGCTCGCGGATCGCTGTTACCAGAGTATTTTGGGATACTCAATTTGTTGGTATCCCGAATGTAGGTATTTTTTATCCTAAGTGAAAATGGAGGTCGTATAGACTCTTTTATCACTCTGTCGATATCGGGAGCTGAGCTCGTTGCTTGGTGGAACATCGAACTCATATGCTGAAACGATTCAGCAAGGCGTCTGTCGTGTCTCTCCAATCTGGTTTCATGGTCGTGCTAACCGTTTACCAAGTTGATGAGAAGCTGTCTGATCTGTGCAAGATCATCTGGGCTAGCTCGCGGAGGAGCTGGCGTCGCAGATGCAGGTCGAACATGAATAGTCTAATTCTATGGAGTCACAGCTATTGGGGGATGTTCTGATCTGACCCAAACTCCAGAGAGAGGTCTCTGAATGGTGTGTGAACCCAGATTCGGTAGAATCGGGCTCGGAGATGCTACCGGTGTGGCAAGGTTAATCAGGACTGGTTCCACGCGAAATGGAGTGTTTAGATTCACTCCGGTGGAAGCGGTAACAGAGGTGTCGGGACATTCGAAGTGCCGGCAGTTTGGCCGCTACCGACATTCAATGCGATCTGATCTCTCGTTGCACCAGCAGTTTGGCCTCTACTGGTGTTGGAGGTGATCGGAACCAATTGGATCGAGGTTTGGGAGTTAGATCCATGGGTTTGCGATCAGATTGAATCCATTTTCGCTCTTACCTGGCTTGTGTAAGAAAATTTATGTTTCCTCCCCAAAGTCGGCGCCAAAATGTGGGTGCTAAAAGCCACACTCAAAATTTGTATGTTTTGCAAGGAAGAAACTTTGGGAGATTTTACGGCTAGATTTTGATGTAAGTCGAATGAATCGTAAGCAAGGATTTGTCGAAAAGGGATTTGTATTATTCAATGAAAAATAGTTACAAGAACTCTCTCAAGAGAGATAAGAACTAATCTCGAAGGAAAATAGAAGATGAATTGGGTAAAAAGTAGGTCTGAAAGTGGTCAGAAAAAATGGTCCTTGATCCGACTGACGTCCAACTCCTTTTATAACTCCTGAAGCGGCTACGAACCTCCTCCGCTCATCTCGCCACGTGCAGCTAACAATCACGGTGATCTCGGACCAGGCCGGATTTGAATAAGATCTTCTTTGACTTCGTTTATCTTCGCTACGCCGACCTGATCCTTGATCGAGCTGGAGCTCTTCTTTACATCGACCTGAATATCTCGGATATTATTTAGCTGGGCTCGGATGGAGATGCTTGGTGGGCTCGAGGTCTTCCCTCTGGGCTTGAGTGGGCGTGGCCTTTAAATCTAGATCAAGGTAATGGGTCCTTGTGGGCTGGATTCCAGATGTGGAATCCGGGTCCAACACAAATCCTTTCTTACCGAAGAAAAAAAAACTATAAAAAAAAATGAAAAAAAAATGAAAAAATTTAGATCCAAAATAATGAACCTTACCAAACGATATTCGATTACTACATACTACCGTTTATAAACCAAAAACTGAACACGAAACTGATTCAATAAAAAACGGATTAGGTACTTGATCAATTGTAAACCCATCTGTAAAGGAATTAAATTGATTTTAATAAATATCATCATCACCAAATTACGCCAATGTAAAACAAGCATTATTAAACCTAATAATTCTCAAAGCGCTATCGTCGTATTATATAAAGCTGGATGCGCACAACATGTCTAAGATTTTTATAAAATATAGGATTGCGACATGTGTCACTTTTAATGTTGATTGGTCCATGTCATTATTTTTAATTTTTTTTTGCTTTTAAATTAATTTATGTAAATTTTCTATTTTACATATTATTTATTAATTAGTTTTCAGTAAAGATAATTTCTCTGATTTTACAATTTACGAGAACTGAATTATAAGTTTCCTATTCATAGATTATCTAAATTTACATATATTATTAGTATTAGTTTCTTTTTTAGTGGAAAATTTACACATGTTTTAAGTAATTATAGAAATAAATTTCCTATTCAGCCAAAAAGATGCTATGGTGTAGCGGTTATCACAATTGTCCTAAACGCAACAGGTATCGAGTTCGATCCTTTGCAGTCCCCTGTTTTTTTTTTAAACCGTTTCAAAAATAATTATATGGACATTGCCATTAGGTTACCACAAAAAAAAAAAAAAAAAATCAGACATCGGCATCTCCAAAACGGGATCTGCTACATCTTCTTCCCCTTTTTTCTACAAACCCTAAAACTGCATCTCACAAAACTCTCTCTCTCTCTCCACCGTCAAACAACAAAAACCCATTCTTCATTTCCCAGATTTCGTAAATCGAATTGGATTTATTTTGCCCTAAACTCCCTATTTCGCATTGTTGCAAGTTTGAAGCTTCAGTACAACTTCAGTTGAGGGAGTATTAGACCAAAAATGGAGAAATTCGGAATCTATTACTAAGATAAGTCTTGTGATTTGACTGTACAATTCGGCTGCTTTAATTTCTGGCGAATTTAAGATTGCTTCTTGGCATTTTTTTCTTATTTCTTCTTCCAAATTTATTTCTTGGTTTCATTATTTCGTTTTAGTCTAGAAGATTCTTGAAAAACAAATTGGATATTGTTTGATAAAGATTAGGATTTGGATAGTTCCTATTTTTGTAATTATCACTTCTCTAATTTCCTTATTGTACAATGACATTGATATACATTGATTCCTTTTTCCATTAGGAATAAGATGATCTTAAATCCTATATATATGTGGTCTTATTGCCACATGAAACCAAGTTCAGAATATACATTCACATCTCTCAATCGATTTTTATAAGTCATGGCAAATTCATGCTCTTCTGTTTCTGATCAGTTAAGCCATACTTTGGTTTTCGATGATCTAAAAAAAGGTTTCAACAATAATGATTTGCTTGTCAGAGTCATCCACTTTTGGGAGGCACGAAACGTTAGAAAAGGCGGATTACTCATGGGTGTAGAACTCCTTCTCATGGATCAGAAGGTATTTGCAAATTTATGTTTAATGTTTTTTTTACTTTGGCTATGTTTCTACCAATTCGTAATATATTTCTGATTTATGTTTTCTGATTTAATTTTTTGCAGTCATCTGTCATTCATGCATTCATTCTGGCTAACTGACTAAGCATATATGAAGCAGCATTGAAGGCTGGATCTGTTTACGTAATCCAAAAGTTCTTGGTCCTTGACAATAACAAATCCTACAGAGTCACTTCTCACAAATTTCTAATCCAGTTCACAGTGAGAAAACTAGCAAACATTGAGAAAACCCAAAATTTAACTCGGTGACGTTATCGAAAATCATTTGACCAAAAAATCAAACCATCAATCGGCGATAAAGGGGAAATTCGAGATTGGTACCTGAGTTAATTGAGAAATTCAGAGGAGAGTCGAAGGAGATCGAAAAGAAGAAGAAGCGTGAGCTCTCCCCTGGGAATAACAAGATTAGCAACAAAGAAGAGGGATCTAGATGATGAGATGGTTCCGGTGGGAATAAGGAAGAAGAAATATTGTTCGATTGTGGTCGGCAAATGAAAGAAAAAGAAACGAAGCATTTCTAATTTCTATGAGATAGGAAAACCGAACCGTAACAAACCAAAAGAATTGAACCGGGAATTGGAAAAACAATTAAAAGATGATGACCCCGGGAAGAAGAAGAAGCCATATGATCTGGAAAAAGTGGGAATACATTTAACACGATTATATCATATGAAACAATTAAAAAACAATTATTTTTTACTCCTGATCTTTCTGATTCCTTTCTTCCCGTCCTTAATGATCTGTAAAATACATTTATATATTTTTTTTCTAGATATAAGACTTTTAAATATAAAAACAGTGATTTAAAAATAAAAAGATGAATTTATTGAATGGAATTAAATGCAAAATTAAAATTAAAATTAAGTATAAATCATAAATTCATAGCTGGAAAAGCTAAACAAATAAATAAAATTAAAAAATAAATTAAGAACTAAAATATGTATTAGACTACTATTGGATAAGTTTGGCAGATAACCTTCATTGGATATAAAAAAAAATTGTCTAATGAATAGTAAAATTAAGGGATTAGTTTAAGAAATTTGAGGATAGGGCTGTTGTATGTTTTTATGACAAAAAAGATTTTTAAAAGGTATCTTACTTATTATGACTACTTATAAAAATAATTAAATTGGTTAGGTAAAAAACAAAATTAAAAGTATATTACAAAAAAAAGTTTATAAAAAAAATTGAAAAATAGTGAAGCATTTTAAAAACCTTTTTTTAATAAATGAAACTATTATTTTCATCCTTTATCAGAAAAACAAAAAAAATTGATGACTCGAACTTGATATACAAATATTCTTAATTGAATCATACCTTTTCTTAATATTATTGAATAAAATTAAAATAAAGAGGACATAAGATTTATTTACAAATATTAAAACGGAACCCGCGCGTGCGCGGGTAAAACACCTAGTCTTGGAAAAGAGGGAAAACATTTAAGGGATAAATTTAACCTTTTATTAATAAAAACGATTTTTTTAAATAAATTGAAAATAATTTATGTCTTGGGAAAAAGGAAAAAAAAAGTAAAGAGAAAATTTTATTCTTTTATAATAAAAAATAAAATTTATATAATAAATTGAAAAAAATGTAATAAAAAATACTTATTAGTACATGGAATAGGTATGTAAACTAAATATCCTAAAACTGTATGGAATAGGTTACATAAACCCCTATTTTAAAAATCCTATTAGTACATGGAATAGGTATGTAAACTAAATATCATACAACTCTATGAAATTTGTTACATGAACCCCTATAAAAAGAGAGCTATTATATTCTCTTTCTCTCATTCACAAATTCATGAAAGCAAATTCAGTAAATCTCTTTGATTCTCTTTCTCTAATTTTAAAATCATGTCTTTGAAAAAATATTATTATATATTAAGCTATAGCTTTCATGATTTAATTGTGTGATTCTATCTTTTGATTAAACTTCTCTCTCATTAAGAAATAAATATAATGTATTTGAAAGTTCATGATATCAATGAAGAATATTTAACTTAGATCAGTTGGATCCAAATCAAAATTATTGTTGCTACTTGTGTCTAATATTTTGAAAACAAGTGTTAACACAAGAAAATTGGAAAAATATATAAAATAAATAAAAAACTAACAAAATAATTAGAAAACAACTAACTAATAATGGAAAGGAAAGTTTATAATGGCTGAGTCAAAAACAAAACTGAATAAACAATATAAATAGAAAACCAATAAAATAATTATCGAGAAACTAACTAATATTAAAAGAAAAATTTATAATGAACTGATATTCTAATTTTAATAGTTTAATTTTTTTGTTAGGTAAAAAATTATTTAAAAAATAAAATTTCATCAACCGAAATCTCTTCAATGGAATAATAAAATTTTCACGAATTAATCAATCAATCAAACTTACACATGTGTAAGTCTTTCAATTTTAGATAAAAGTAAAAAGATAACAAATTAATTCATTTTTCGTATCATGAATTCAGAAAATATGTCAATTATAATAAAAATGTAAAAAGATTACCAATCTAATATTATTTAGAGGTCTTTTATGGGGTTTTAATATTAATCTACTTACTTTTAAAGTGTTAATTTATTTAATATTTTTCTATGATTTATTT